GTGCATTTATGGAGAAACTAGCAGAAGAGTACTCTGGAAACACCTACCATCTGATCACCAAGAACTGCAACCACTTCTGTAATGATGTGTCTACCAGATTGACGGGGAAGCCTATTCCTCGCTGGGTCAACCGTCTTGCTCGACTTGGTAAGGATTTGATTATCTCCTATCAGTTTTTCGCAATCCCACCGTTATTAGTAGTACGACCACAAAACAAAAACCACTACACGATGCCAATGCCAACCAGAGCTACCATTGTTACCCCTTGCCCTCACATCATCACAGATTCCATCCATGTTTAGATTGTGATCATTGCAAACATAGGATTCAAAACTCAATGGGAAAGAATAATTTGGGTAGAAATGATGACTATTGTTCATTATTTGCCCATGTTTTATATCCTTTTGGGATCTCTGCGATGTTAGAAGGCTGATCACCACCGTAGTGCCTGTTTCTGTTTGTGTGATGCAAACGTGACTTTTAGATTTGTTTCCATGGGAATGCCAATTGTTGAAACATTTTCCTAAACAAAAAAAAATAAGGTATTCGTAGATTGTTCTCGTTCCCTACATTAATTACTTACTGAGAAAACCAATCCTAATATATTTTTGTGTGTGTGGCTGCTTGATGAACCCCAGGTTTTTTCTGCAATTGTGTTCTTCCAGCTGGTTTGAATGAAACTAAAGTTCGGCAAGTAAAATCAGATGGGGTTTACAGTGGGGATAAGAAGAAATTGAGAAGCCTTTCAACTAATTGTGCATCCTCAAATCCTCGGCCCTCTTCTTTACAACCCTCCAGTGGGGGTTCTGCAGGCAGAAGTAGTAGACAAAGACACTGTGTTCCTCCTTCTTCCACCTTGATCCATTCTGCATCAACCTCGGCCTTGACTGTAAAGGTGTGACACCTATTTGATTGAGACTTTATAGGGTTTTAGAGTCCATATGAACAACAGATGGGGAAATTGCAAATTTTGGTTTTGCCCCGTTGTGTAATCTGTTTTTATTATTATGTAAAACAGCTGCTTGAAAATTGTTTCAGTGTGCCTGTTTGTGTAAAATGCTTCGTGTTTCTGACATACTGGGGAGATGAGGTTGATGGCTTTCAAATTTTTGGTTTCTCGTCTATCTTCAAAAAAGTAATGCAAAATAAGAAGGCAGTCAAGCGTGTGACATGTCCACATAACATACACACGTGCAAGTTTACATTCAGATATGCACGGCATGGAATGGAATGAATCAAAATTAATTCTTGCTGGCCGCCGACTTATTCAAACTTAATGTGAATGAATGTAGACATGAATTGCACAAAGTAGGTGGTTTTCTCGTTATGGATTAGAGAGAAGAGAAAGACAGTCTGTTTGGGGCCCCATTCTTTGTCAAAAGCTTTCTCATGTCGGTGTTTGGCTTGGTTTCCAGTTCTTGTACTGGTCTGGGGTTTGAGTTTGGGCTTGATCCAAACAGTGGAAACATGTTTAGTCTAATCCCTGTATGTACAAAGAGAACCCAAATGCATATATGGGCTGGGGCTGGGGCTCAAGGAATGTACATATAACAAGAAGCCTGCAAAACCCAGTTCATAACAAGTTGTTTGTTGCAACTTGCAAGAACCTTACTTGGAAGGAAGCTTGAATTTGGTATGGATGAGGAGGCAATCTTTTGGTTGTGTTCCTTGAACTCAGGTTATCATTTTACAGAAGAAAATTAACCAGTGCCTTGAAATGTAGGTAAAGTTGTTTCCTCCTCAATTGCTGTATTGCTGTAGCTGTACCTGGAGAAAAGACACCTAGTATTGAAAGAAATCGACAAAATCATTCCCCTCCATTGCAAGAGAAGACAAAACACTCTCTGCACTGCATGAAACGTACTTGTCTCTCTCTCTCTCCCCCTTTTATCAGATTCGAGAGATGCCATCTTTTTACAAGAAACATCTCGACAAACTCTGCGCGTTGATTGAACTTTGGACCCCCTACCTTTTACCTCTATGTCCCCTAAGTTACCATTCTCTGCATTTACACCAAGCGTATCAACGTTTTACTGTGTCTTGGGGTGGTGTTTTTACTCGGAGTCAGCAAAACGTTCAGTTCAATTGAGAGTGAGAAAATAACTCATTTAATGATACATTGACTAAGCATACCTTCTTTTTGGGGCAGTAAATAAGGTGGATTTTGCATCTAGTACCGGTCCTGCTATACTGTAGGCTATGGGCATTTCACATCAAAATAGAAAACGCAGCAGAAATACGTGCTCTATATAAATCCTAATGGATTAACACTCTTGCTTTATCTTTGACTGAAACATTCTTATGATATAAGGATCCTCCCGATATTATTATTCATGTGGTTTAGAAATCTTCGGATATCATCATGCTTTTTAAGATCTTATGTACTTTTCTTAATGAATCAAATATCGCTTTTTCTTTTTTTTTTCCTTCTTTTTTTTAAGTTTAAAAAGAGACTGATTAGGCCGTATGCTGTGCTTGAAAGAAATACTTGTCCAGAAAGGCAGGAGTGGGCGATAAAATATGTTACATAGAGGGAAGTGAGTAACGGGGAGAGTCTCACAAGGTACAACAGTCAACCTTACCACCAATATACCGCGGAAGCTTCTGAATACAAGTTGATGTTGAATTGAAGGACCTTTTCTTTCTTTCCCAAAACAATAATACAAATCTTAATTTGACCGTTTCACACACACCCCTTTCGTTTGGGTACCGCTGTTGTCTTCTCTTCTCTGGTACCAACCAAATTGGATTTCTGTTTTCTTTAACATTTCCCCCACTTTCAATCCAATGTCACTTGTTTTTTTTCACTTAATTAATTCATCCAACAGTCGGTCAACAAACTTCCATGGTTCACAATTCAGATGATTTCCTTAGAGCATCTACAATGGTTAAAATCTATGTAATTTTATTGCTTGAAATTGATTTAAAATAGTAAAATCTCACTTGTAATTGTGTGATTTATTTCATTACAATAAATACAGTTGCAATAGAGGGTTCTATGTGATGAGCTCTCTATTGCAATTGCAATAAACAAACCATGGGACCTACATGCCAATAATTATTTTTATATATAATAATTAATGTATTATGTTGTTTAATAGTTCAATGCGATAGAAAAAATATCAATTAAATTTTTTTTTCAAATACATTTAAAATTGGTCTCTTTTTAAAGATCTTTTTGAGAATATTGCAATGGTACAATTTTTAGTGTTATGAAATTTATTCTTTTTATTATTATTTTAATTTGAGTATGTAAAAAAACGTGTAAGTAGATATAACTATTGATTGGAAGCTACTAAATTGTACCATTGCAAGTAAAAATGTAGTTCAATTCAATAAATGCCAAAAAAGATCAATTTATTGAACTATTGAACAACCATTGTGGATGCTCTTATGAATTTATGGTAATGTCTAAGAACCTATGTAGCACGGACACTCTATCAGGCCGAAGTGTCGGACACTCGGACACACCTTGGACACGGCTTGAACACGGGTCAACGATCAAGACATGTTTTGGACACAATCAATTAAAGTCAATACACTGCATGGAGTATTTTGAAAATCATAAAACAAAAACTAGGGTCAAACATCATTATTGAAAACTATGTGGACATATTTGAAATACTTTTAAAAAGTTGGCTAAATATGTTTATTTTTCTTTGTTCCTTCATAGTAGAGCTGATATTTTTCGTTGACCAAGGATATTGATAGCAATTTGGTCGTGAGAGACGTATCTTTTTGAGTGAGTAATTCATTCAATTTGTTTTTTTTCCTTTCTTTATTTATGCAAACTCGATTCTTATTTTATGAAGTGGGAAATCATTTTTCTTATTTTGAAGATGATAGATCATATATGAAAAATGTGTGAAATTAGGTTTATGATGAATCATGAATATGTGTATCATTCTTTATTTTGTTTAGGAAAAGATGAGTAATGCTAAATTATATCAAATGAGTATAAATTTATTTTATGGTATTATGATATTGAAATATTGAATATGAATTTATATATATAAGTATTTATTAAAATTTATTATTATTTTAAATACTGTGTCCTAGCCGTGTCGTGTCCTAATTTTGTAAGATTTTCCGTGTCACCATGTCACGTTTCCGTATCCTCGTATCCGCCCTACATAGCTAAGAACAACCAAAGATGCATAATTTTACACATCCAAGAAATTAAAAACATAATTAAAAAAACCCAGGTCACATGCAGGTCTGATGTCTAAATCCAAATGTTGTTATCTCTGTGCTTTTTGCTTCATATTTTTTCGTTAAAAAAAATAAAATAGACGGAACGAGAAAACAAGAAGGAATAATAGCAAAAGCTTTTACCTTCTTCTTCATCAATAATATGCCTCATAAATCACATTACACGAACAATTGGGAAATTAAAGCATAATTAATTCCCTTCCCAGTAGAAAAATAACAAAAAAATACCAAACACGGTTTTGTCTTTAACATATAGACAGGCTAAGTAAGATTTGTTAGATCTAATCTCATATAAAGTAGCTATGAATTTCATAGTTTCCTTCCATGTAGATAGATAGTAACTGGATTTATTCGGCTATGTTCAACAACAAATGGGTTAGTAAAAGTAACAAATTACTAAGCAATCTCACCAACAATTAATTATATAGAACCAACCAGCCTACTCAAATTGTAATTTTGAAGAATTTGAATTGAATTGCTTTGCTTTCCTTTGATTTTCACCTTTTCCAGGCATAAACCAGCAAAGAAAACCCAGTAGGACCGCCGCTGAGCTCACTTTCCTCCATACTAGCCCACTCCATCACCGACGAGCTCCCTCCAGAAGACCCTGCAGACGACATCGACACCGAAGAAGACGACAAGCTCTTCCCCATCTTCCTCCACTCGATCCCATTCATCCCAAAATTCCATGAATTTAAATGACCCATCTGGCAATTATTGCTCTCTTTGTTGATTTCTTCGTCTTCTTCGAACCTGAACATGAACACCGCGTGCCCGTCGTCACTGTCGCTCTCGAACAACCAATTGTACACGTCCCACGAGATCTGCAGCGGCGCCCCGTCCACTTCGATTCGCTCGTTGCCTCTGAATTTCCACTTCAAACGCTTTATCTGCAGAACCCTCTGGCCGTCCACGCTGAAACATAGCCGGCTCAGGTCGTTGCCGTACCCGCAGTCGATTTGGATCTCTCTCAGCTTCCCACCAAATCTCGCTTTCGTGGTGTAGATTTTCTTGGCGACCACATGCTCCCGTTTCAGAATTGGGATTTGGGGAGTCTGGGCTTTGTGGGCTCTGGTTTTGGCGTAGGCTTCTCTGGTCAAATCTCCGACTAGGAGGGTCATCTCGTCGTCGACGACGACGGCGATGTAGAACACGGATTGAGGGTCAGTCCCTGGCCCCACCCGGC